ACAATGAACAATTCGAATCTTGAACGAGGCAAATACACAGAGATGCACAAATTACTAAATATGGCATGTCACGTAAAACTAGATAACTGACATCAATAAAATATTTCCTATATAAGATTAGAGAATGGACTACATAACAGCATAAAAAAAATATCTCAGATAGATTTATTTTCTGAATTTCTATATTCATGACCAAGGTCTGCAATACCGAATTGTACCGCCCGGTACGGACAGTACATACCGGTACGCAGACCGCCCGCTATCGGGCGGTACATTCAAAAAAATCTCGTATCGAACGATACGATGTAATATCGAGCGGTAACGGTCGAAATTTCAACCGTTATCGCCCGGCACAAATCGGTAACGGTCGATTTCGATTGTTACCGCAGTGTAGCAGTGCTACAGTGCTCCAACGGTCAATTTGACCGTTGGAGCCCTTTCTCATTCTATTTAAGCTATTCTTCTCCCCTATTTCATTATACTCTCTTAAACTCTCTCTCAAACTTTTTTTTCTCTTCTAAACTCTACAAAACAACGATTTGTGAATTCAATCGAGGCTAATTTGGGAAGATTAAGAGAAAGAGCTTTCTAATCAAGAGGTATGTATTCGCTTTCTTTAATTAGAGAGTAATTAAAATCTTTAACATTATGATTAGTGTGTTTCATGCATATTAAATATTGAATAATATTTATGATAGTAAAATAAGTTTAATTAAGTTTTATTAAAGTTATTTAATGCTGTGATTAGTCATTTTAATGACGATTTAATCGAAATTTATTCAATTTTATATCAATTAAATGTCTTTAATACCTATTAGGGTATTTGTCATGTTTATAGTGTTGAAAGAGAAGTAATTAGTGAAAAATTAACTATGTTAATCGTATAATTAGTGTAGATAAATAATGATTTTATCATAATTTAAATCATATTGGATTAAAATTACATATTTGAATCATATTGATCCCATTGACCTCCAATTCTACAACGAAGATTTAGAGCCAATGTTAGATTGGGTGGAGGACCGTCGTTCGTTTTGGTGGTAAAATCAACAATCAGGTATATTTACATATATAATTATTTAATTAATTTAAATTTTAGAGTTTATATTGTAATAAAATAGTCTAACAATTCAAATGATTTTTCTGTAGATATTTCAATCTATAACGGGCTGAAATACGAACCTCGAACAAAACTACCTCAAAGCCCGAAAAAGATATGTGATACTATTATTACCTAATTTACATTGATTTTGCTAAACTTATACTATTACTCTATTTATTTATAACTTGAAAACCCTATCCTAACTTTTTTTTTTTCCAGGTATTTTCGGAGGGTTTAACGGACTGAAATTAGGTGTACCGCTCGGTGCACCTGGGGGTATCGCTCGGTACACCGTACCATACCATACCGAGCCCAGGTCGAAACACCAGTACGGTACGATATTGCGAACCTTGTTCATGACAACCAAAGCAATAATATACTCCTAAATTCTAGACATCTAGAAATGCATACTTAGAGCAATGAGGAAACTATTTCCTGCCTCATGTTCAAATGTGGGAAAAAAAACAATTTTGAAAAGTGGAGCCAACAACTGAAAGTCCAACAACTAATTGTGCGAAGTCTTTAAGTGACTCATCAACAGCGAAGGTATTATGTTCAGTACCTTTACATGCAAATCCAACAAGGTAGGAAAACCTATATTATTAATATGATAAATTGTCAGTTTTAAAATGATAAAACGATTAGTTAAATATCAGCTAC